ACAGAGAGCACAAAGTTTCCATAAGATAACAAGAATAATAAGTGTAACTAATAAACCGACTAATGTTGGAACAATGGAACTTATCCAATCGATGATAAATGCGGCCACATATTTCTGACTGTACGGTTTACGAGTATTAGCGGCTGTACTAGTAGGCGTAAAGAATATTGCTAGACGTACAATACCAAAAACCATTTCAAGAAAACCAGTTAATGCATGTAGATAGGCTAATTTTTTATAGATAAAGGAACAATTACAGAAAGACATCTTTAACAAAAATGTTTCGATGAATGAAAACTTTGCGTGTCTCTGTTCTTATAGAATTACTTCAAAACTATCGTCTGATGTTAAAATCAACAATTTTTTCAAAATTTATATGTCATTGCTCAATTCAATTACAGCAACAACTTAAATGGTTCCTTGGTGATTAATAACAATAGAAATGTAGAAAAAACAAATACAACGATGCAAAAAAAATTTTTTTTTGCGCTTCTTTCGTTTGCATCGAAACCTTATTTACCATTTTAATTTATCAATTGGAGTATTCTCCTATGTTTTATTTTTATTTAGTAGAAATGTATTTGACGAGACATCATCTTTATATTAGAAATTTTTTTCTATGGATTCTACATCATAAATAACGATAACATGCCGATGGTGTAAGTGCGAGTGCAGACTTGAGTGTAGATATAGCCTTTACACACTACCGTAAATACACTTACGCTCTACACCCATCCCCATTCACGTCCACACTCTGAATTTTTTTTAATCAAGCTCAATCAAACATTTTTCCATTCACTTATAATTTTGTTAATTAAACATTGTGTACAGTAGTTAGTCACATTCAGCTTTACTGTTCACCATCATTGGTCCATACTGGTCAACGATTGTATTGTAAACGAACAAGTAAGAAAATTCATTGGAGAGAAATAGGAAAAAGATTTATTTATCATATTTTATTCTTTTGATTAGTTTCTCTACTAGTTTCATCATGTGATTCAAATTCTCCTCTAAAATTCAAGTTCATGTTCTCAAACTAAATATACATCGCATTCGCTGCTATTTCTGTTCACGTCATGCATAATCAGTTAGGTTAACCCGATTCCATTAATGCAAAGCATAATTGGAACATCGATTATTATTACTAGCTTATCTTCTTTTTTTTCTTATCAAGGACAATGATTTTTTTTGCTTTCAAAGCAACATGTTTCAGTGCAGCCGTGTGTAAAAATGGCATACAAATTAGATCATCATATTATGTCCGACTATGAGTCCTTCATCAATACACTGTGTTTGTCAGATTGAAAGGGGTTCATTGCTAAAGGCCTTCTCCTTCCCATTTCCAAAAAACCAGTTTCACACCAGATACATGAAAATCACCTGAAACTGGAAAGATATGTTGCGACTGTAGTGAAGAGGCTATGCTAAAATTTTCAGTTCTATACCATGACGTTTGATAGAGTTATTCACTGAACAAGGTCAAAATTAGCTTGTTTGACAAATCAAATATTTCTCTCCAGGTTCATTCTACATATTCAACTTTTTTTGTTTGAAAGAGCATGTCAGGATGCAGTGCATTAGAGAACCCTTTTCTAAAACTCTTAATTTTTAAGCTGATAAAAGGAAATAACTCAAACAACTCTCTAAAAATCTGTCTATTTATATAAGTGTTTCTATAGATAACAGACAAAAAGCTTAATAGAAAAAGACTGTACTGCATTTCACCTTGACCTGCTCTTTTAAAGAAAAAAATTTAAGTATAGAAAATGAAACTCCTTTGAGAATTCTGAATTGCGAGATAAAAAAAGGATATACTTAGAAAATCGACAAAATATTTTGAGAGAAAGTATTTTAGAGGTAGAAAATAATGCCAGTTATCAACAACTTCGCGCCGAAGCGAAGTACCGATTTTAAAGTCATATTTTTTCTGAAAACACAAAGTTCAGGCTATTTTCTCATGCATTTATCTCAGTTTGCCTTTTTTTTGATGAAAATTGACCTTTTCAAGGGAGGGAGCACGGCAAGGCCTGAATACAAAGATGAATCAATCGATTCGAGTGGTTCATGATTGTCAAGATTCTTTGAATACCATCGATTGATTCGAATTTCGATTTCAACCATTAATCTCGAGTTCCACTCCAACACTTATTAAGGGTGTAAGTGTGCAGCCTAGAGTGCGCAGTGTGGATCTTGGTCTGTATTCGGGTTTGATGTGTGGATGTGTGGTGTTCATGTGAATTCTCTGTTCACTCGCGCCAATACCACTATCGTCCACACCTACCCACTAATCGAATCGAATCGAATGAAACGCTCCTTATTCTACTCAGCAGCAATTCCTTCATTGAGTCTACAACATGAGCAATAATCTTCACTTCAGGATAGGACCATGCTCTATATCTTATGCTGTCGCATACTATATCGATCTCTTTGCGTAAGAAGTCTGCTAGATCAACTATTGCTTGTGTTTTATTTTAAAAACTCAGCTTCTATTGATTTATTTCAAGATAGATATATTTAGAGGAATCATACCCATGTGTAGCTTGTTTTAGGACTACTTCTATTTTCACATACCTATTACGGCTTTCTAGTTTAAGACAGTGTCTGTACCTACCGATGTTTTGAATTCCTTTTCTCATATATGGATGGAGTTCTTTTATTGGTATGGCAGGTGTTTGCTTCTTGAATTATATGATCAACAGTACAATTATAATTAATTGTAATTTCGATAATTGATTGCTCTGTCATATATCCGAATCAATAATTGGCAGGACAACTGATTTTGAAAAACTTTACTGAAAAGCCAAATATTGCGGTGTTCTTATTTACAGTCTATGAAATTGATCCAATGAAATTTAGGAACTACTGACTGCGGTACAGATCATGAAACTGAAATGTAATTCAACTGAAATTACAAGCTACTCTACTCCATTTCTTAATATGTGTGTCTTTATCCAAGCAGATAATACCTAGAGCAGCATTAATTCTGATAATTTAGAAAGTACTACCTTTACTGATCGATAAGAAAAAAATATTTTTTTCATAATGCCTAAACGATAGATTTAACATATAGATAGACGAAAACTTCAGTAAAATTTTTGCAGGACTTAGATACATTTACACGTTACCATGAAGGATTTTTTTGTATTATAAACGAAATCGAATCGAATAGAATTGAGATTTGCTCATTTGTTTCGATCTCTGCCTCACACCCAACCTGAAATTTGAAACAAAAACATCAATCACAAATTTCACATTTTTCAAAAAGTCAGGAAGTTCGAATCAAATCAAAAAACAAAACAATGCATTGATTTTGCATGAATATATAAAAGTTGTTTACTAGTCTACGGCTGATTGAGTCGTTTCTTTCACTCAATACCATTTTTCCGTATATTTTAATCACGCAATGTTTAATAAATAGACTGCATAATCTAGGGTCTATAGAACAGTAATTATTCGTTTGGTCTGTGTATCTGTCTGAAACACATTTGTTAAACCACTGTCTATATGATTCTAGATGACTATTATGTTTTATTCGGTATTTGGAACTGTTGTCTTTAAATGCGTTTGCGAGAATGCGCATTTGTATATAAACAAAAATAGATTCCCTATCGATTGTCACTATTGCCTACTACTATTAGCATTCAATTCTGCTCTATTCGCTCCATCAAACAATTCTGGTAAGCAATGTGATTATATTTTATTTCTAAAGCTAAGACGATGCAGAACAGAAAAGAAAAAAGAAAAGAAAAGAACCGACAAAAAAAGCATGAAAAAGCGTATCGTGAAAAAGAAAGCTGTGAATAAAACAATAAACAGGAACTAATTGTATACGGATTATGATTGTGACGATTGAGTTTGCTTTTCTGGTTTAAAGTTGATTTCTTACTAGGACATGCATTTAATGAAATAATTTGATTTTCTGATTAAGATTTGGCTTTTTCTAAAATTTACAATCGGGTTTTAAATCACTCATTGAGTTGTCTCATCCTTGGTAATAATAATTGTCTCTCTATGTATATGTATTGTCACTAAAATGAGAACAGAATAGTTTGTATTGATATTCACTAAAGTGATCTTGGATGTTCATGCAAAAACAACTCGATAGATGAACTTCATCTTACCTAATGTGATTTATACTCAAATGCTGCCTAAGCATGCTGGTAACTTGAATGCTGGCTGGCGAACTGCGCCTCCAATTGTTAGTGATAAGACAACAGTTGCTCCATCCATGTTGGAGTTCGTTTGAACAACAGCAAGAGGTGCTAACATAGCTCCCATAAACTCTCGTTGCAGAATGATACTTGTAGCTTCATAGAAATTAAACAACGTTCTAGCTCGGGTATAATCTTGTGTTAAATTTCCAACAATGTTGCCAGTACTGAAAATAATCGATGTTCCTCCTACATTGATCACAATTGTTGCATTAGGCGCTTGAGTATTGATGATTTCGATTTGTTGCACGAGCTGATTATTGAATAGTGTGGTTCCATTACGAACACTGAAGTAAGCGAAACCATTAACATCTGTGTTTTTCACGACGAAGTTATATGGACCCGGTTGAGAAGGGCCTGGAACACTGACATTGTTGTTGGCACTGTGGTTGGCGAGACGCACAGAAAGATTTATCAAACTATCTGATACAGTTTGACATCGTCCGCCCAGTGTCAGATCATATGAAATATTAGCACCTCGACTCCCATCATTTATGTTGAACAAGCGACCGTTAACTGTGTATTGTGAAGTTGATAGCTTGCTAATGTTATTACTCAACAGACCCAAACTCACACTACCAACTATAATAGAGATCGGGTTCGAACCCAAAATAAATCTAGCGACTTCTAGAACAGCAGTCAGAGCACTTGTGGTTGTTTGATTCAAAGCATTGCCAAAGGTGGGAGCGTTAGTGCCGATCACAGAATCACATATGAGGGTTTTAAGATCAACTGACGAACCAGCTGAAACATTGCCACGTGTTATCAAATTGTATTGATTCAAATATGTCAGTGCTGCATATTCTGAACAGCCTCCTGCCGTGGTGGTAGTGGTTGTTGTAGTGGTGGTTGTCCTTGTGGTAGTTGTAGTGGTGGTTGTTCTTGTGGTAGTTGTCGTTGTAGTTGTGGTTGTCCTTGTGGTAGTTGTCGTTGTAGTTGTGGTTGTCCTTGTTGTAGTTGTCGTTGTAGTTGTGGTTGTCCTTGTGGTAGTTGTCGTTGTGGTGGTGATGGTGGTTGTCGTTGTTGTTGTTGTGGTGGTGATGGTTGTCGTTGTTGTTGTGGTGGTGGTGGTTGTCGTTGTCGTTGTTGTTGTCGTTGTTGTTGTCGTTGTTGTTGTGGTTGTCGTTGTTGTTGTGGTTGTTGTTGTTGTTGTTGTTGTTGTTGTGGTTGTTGTTGTGGTTGTTGTTGTTGTGGTTGTTGTTGTGGTTGTTGTTGTTGTTGTTGTGGTGGTGGTGGTTGTCGTTGTTGTTGTTGTTGTTGTTGTTGTTGTTGTAGTTGTTGTGGTCGTTGTTGTTGTTGTTGTTGTTGTGGTGGTGGTGGTGGTTGTCGTTGTTGTTGTTGTTGTGGTGGTGGTGATGGTGGCTGTCGTTGTTGTTGTTGTCGTTTTTGTTGTGGTGGTGGTCGTTGTTGTTGTTGTTGCTGTTGTCATGGTTGTGGTTTTCGTGGTGGTGGTGGTTGTTATCGTTGTTGTGGTAGTGGTTTTCGTCGTGGTGGTTGTTGTCCTTGTTGTGGTAGTGGTTTTCGTGGTAGTTGTTGTCATGGTTGTGGTTGTCGTGGTGCTGGACACTGAAGTGGTATAACGCTTTTTATTAGAAACCTCCCGTAAGTATTCAATGTATTCCTCTGTTTTTGAATTTCTAGAATTAACTTCGTGTGTTCCTTCTTTATGCTGCCCTACCTGCTCACTGCATGTAATTGCTTTTATCTTACATGTGGTAAATGTACACTCTTAATAGCATTTTCTTTTTCTGTTGAGACCGTTTGGTTCTTTTTTTATCATAAAATGCATTGTGTATTCCCCTTTTGATATCGGTGCCTTAGCAGATCCGTGAGTATACTCTGAATAAAATGAATATTCGCAGAAAACCTCTTTATTGTGTGACAGTTCACAGCGAAGAATACAGAAGTCTCGTAATGATAAAACGAATAGAACCGAAAAAATCTGATTTTTTTTTCAAGCCGTGAAAGGAATATCGCGTACATGCACTGATCTTGGATGAAATTTTCATGTAGCATACGCGTTAATACTCAAAAACGAAAAGATTGAAATCACTATACAACTTATCTATTTTTGTTTGATATGATTTCATCGTACAATTCATTACTGTAATAAAGAATTGAATCCTACCTCGTTGAGTTGTAGTTGCTGTAGTTATATTGATCGGTGAGCACACACTGCCCAAATTAAACACTGTGTCAGAACCTTTGACTACTGCCGTTGCAGAAAGCAGTTGATCTGGTATTGATGTAAACAAGTATAGCTGCTTTACATCGGATTGGTTAGTGATTGCAGTAACTAGTCCCGTATACAAGAAGACAGCACTGATCTGGATGAAGTATGTGTTCGGGCCAGGAAATACAAATTGCCAGCCATATAGGGAGCTATTAATATTCGGTGGACATGCTACCGGTATAGGTCCTGGATTCGTCATATTGATTTGACTCGATTTGAGAGTCGCATTGAAGTACGCTGAAAAATAAAGCAAACGAAATGGTGAAACTCATAAAAGAAGACTTAAAGTTAACATGATATAAAGTGACAGTGTTTAAATACTTTTCAATTTAGTTAGTTCAATATTCAAGAAAGCTTGCCAGCGTAGTCACAACTGAGTTAATATGTGGAGCTCACATCAGAATACTGCATTAACAAATGAGAAAGCTTTCATCAGAATTCGCTAAGAAGTTTAGAAAGCATTTTCTTCGAGTTTATGTGACTGTCTATGAATGGCGCTCATGTATCGGATCAAAGAGAAAAAAAAAGATTTTTTATTTCAGATTATCAAATAGACCACATTACTTGAAAGTGCTCAAAAGTTCAGCAGTCAAACAACCCACAATACTAAGATCAAATAGTAGGCAAAATTTTGTGCTGTTTTTGTTTTATTCTAAGATAAAAGTGTGTTGGTTCCAAAATCCATTTTCAAGCTGTACAGTGTATAAGAGAAGCAGAAAGTTGTTGGATATACACTTAAACTCACTATTATTTTATAATGAGTACCACAAAAATAGTGAACATGCAACATCTGAATTCTTCTAGCATATCATAATGCTTCTATTTAAAGATACAGAAAATAAAAATGAAATTAATGCAAAAAATTTGTTCCACTTCTTATCTCATAAAATCTATCTCAAATTGTCAAATCAGGAGTTTTCCTAACAAAAAACTATACGAAGTTCAACAATAAGCACCTGACATATAAGAAAATGTTTCAATTCCATCAAATATATCCAATAAACAGTAGATGACAATGATAAGGATTCTATAATTTTACGCCGGAAACTTGACTCTCAAAAAAGCCAAAACAAATCTGGAATGTCGTTGTTCTATAAGACTTATTACAGATATTCCGTCATAACAGAGAAGCAGCGATATGTAACTAAAATCGACCAATGATGGAAAATGGAAGGCCAGAATAACTACAGATGTTTTTAGTACGACGAAAAACTAGTAGACAATCTAACGACGATTCCAAATACACGTCTCAATGGTCTCATACAGTAAGAGTAGTTCAATAACCAAGAGAACCAATGATAACATGGAGTGTCGCGTTCGAAAATCCCCAGAAACTGGTGACCTACTCTTATGAACGTTCTTTTATCCAAAAGATGATCTAACACTCTGATTTATTCAGATATCGCCCATAGGACATTCAATTACAGCTAATTTCATCCATGTAGCGACCTTGATTATATATACTCTCATCGGATTGAGTGTTATATTCAGTACGTTAATAAAAGCTCACAGATGGCTTCTTCTCCGAGCTCGTTCACTAGCATATCAAACCAGATGCTTTATTCTTCTTTTTTTAACGGTAGAATGCTCAATCTGAAAATAATTGCACAAACCGTTTGTTTGAGTTGAATCAACTTGCATTCTTCGCACTACAATCATTATCAGGTAAATCTCGAAATTTGTTTTTTTTCTTTCTATTAAGCATCTGTTGGTGTTAAAGCTCTATTTCGCCACATTTTTACTAGATACATTTTAATTAACCTAATGAATATCTTAGTCTGGGAATAATTTTATCGAAGTAGTAAGGTACGATTCCTCATTTTTCATAGAACAATATTAAAAAGGGCACCTTTAGTGAGACACATATAAGTCTTCACAAATAGTCATCCAACTCGATTCGTTTACTACCCTTGCTTTAGATAAATGAAAAAGATGTAGATGAGCGTTATGATACAAAAATGACATACTAGAATTTGATGATGGTCCAGGTCGCGCCGTAGTCTTAGCACCATTGATACCGACTATGAGCAAAGACAAAAACAGGAGTGTTATTCTCCTTATCAAAACCTTTAATTCAAAGCTATTTTTAAAACAAGTAACATTAAAGAAAATCTTACCTCTCGATGCATTGTAGTGAGCAAATATGAATCTGGAATGCTTGACAAGTGTGCAGATATCAATATAGATTATCCTCTAAAATGGATTAAAACCTCTCAGAAATAAACTTGTACAAATCAGATTCTTTCACATTCTATCGTGTACAATCATGTGCAACTAACTATTCATGAACATATATCAATCTATTTTGAACGATTGTCACTAAATGCTGCATAGCAATGTCCTGTTCATTGGTTCACAATACACTATTTCACTTCATGTTATGTCATGCTCTCGATTGCTTCGATACATATTCATATACACGTGGTCCTAAAACCTAATCAATCTAATTGGTACAAAAAAACGAAAATACACTTGAAAATGTGTTGAGTTCCGAGCATGATAGCGACAAGCATCCGCTTAAAGACAACCAAACATATTCTTTACCATTTAACTTTCTAGTTATGACTATCTAATGATGAAAAGAGCAGGAAAATACGGGTAGCATTACTACATTTTCATCTCTATCGAGCAAATAAGTTTTGTGATGATAGCACATCGTCATGAAATAAATTTGGTCTAGTCTTCGTTCAATAGATGACAAATACAAGTCATCGATTGTAATAGTCAGAGTTGATCTTGAGAGTAAACATCTCCAACACATGCTCTCACAAGTCTTTTCTTTAAACTAATCAATTTTATGAGCTAGATGATATTTCCACAGCGATAACTAATTTCTCATCAAAAGAGGGGGCTTTGAGGAACAGATATATATTAGTTACCTATGATACGAGAAAGTTCAGAAGACATGTATATAACTTACTTCAGCAAAGTCGAAAGTATGAAAGGACACTAGGAGACATGCGTCAATAAGTAATGGCAAGTGATAGAAACTCGAGCTTTCGAAGTGACATCTAATGAATACAGTAAAAATGGTAAATCTGCTCTTTTATCTTTCTAATTGACAAAACTGGAGAATCTCTTTCTCGTTTTACCTTTTACTGTAGCAACACGAGATACTAGAACACAAGAAACACACTTTGATCCTCTTGAATATAAATGACTTTCATAGATTTAGATTTTCGTACTAAATTTAAAACTAGCAGTTTTAAAACTCAAGAGAAAGGAAACACAGCTGATATCATATCCGTTATTAATAACTGTCTCTTTCCATAACAAGTAGGTCGTCGACAAAAACTGGAACTTCTGCCCATGAAACTGATATCAACAAAAAGAACTATACGTACTCTCGATCAGTTTCGTCACATTCTACCTAACCATATCATATATATGAAATTCTGATTTAATTTTCTTTGTGTGATGCCTTATTTATATAAATGAATAAATCTTAAAACCCCTGAAACATCCGATTTCTCATCTCAATAAATGGATTTATATATATTTATATAAGGTTGAACAATTCTGAATCTCTACTATTTCTGGCTTCCCATTCTGGTTTTAATCTCAGAGCTTCTTTCCTCTGAATTCAAATTAACCAAAACGAAGTTAACTTCCCTCGTCGGAAAATAATACTATACATCGTTATTCGTAGTACTTGAGAACAGAGAGCCACCCTCTATACCATTTACTAAAAAGCTCTTCTGCAGAGACCACGGTTTTCTCAATACATACATATACTTGTTATATTCGTAAAGAATCTTGTCTACTTACAAGGAGAATACTACTGCAATGTGTCGACGTTATTATGTGTTTCAAACTGAAAAATAACGATGTTTATATCCACTTTCAAAAAAACCATTTTGTTTCGTGCATCCAACCGTATCATGAAAAATGATGAGAATAATTTCAATACATACCTTTTTTCTTATTCGGAAATTTTATTATGCTTTGGCTTGTTCTCTCATTGCTCCTACGTAAACCTATACAATACTGATATACAAAAAAAAATACGCATGACAATATGCGCAAACATAATCATCAAGATATTGTCAATACATTGTTGTTTTTTTTCTCATCCCGTAGGCAGACTACCATTCCAGCGATCAGAAAAATATTAATGCTCTGAAAATTGAATGCTGATCAATAAATTATTCAAATGATCAACAATTAAAATTATTAGACTCGTTGATAGCTAGAAAAAATCCGTAATTTATTTTAAATGATAAACATCAAAATCAAAATGTAATATAATATGATTCTAATAGATGACACACGTATTACAAAACAGATAACAGAAGCGATTAGTGCGCTCCAATTATCCAATGTTACAACTGTATTTATATTAGCATTAATCCTATTTATCACGAGATAGAATATCAACAACAAGAAAAAGCCAATTAATACTAGCATTTTTGAATTATATTGATAATCGCGAACTCAAATCAAATACTAGTACATTTGAATGTATACATCAAGCTCAAACGACGACTTAGAAGAACAATCAAAGATATTGAAATATTTAGAAAACGTCATCTCCGATGAAGTTTCTTGACAATATCTTGAAATATTG